CTGCCGCCCGCGCCCCGCCCCATCTGGCCGCTTGCGCGCCCCATCCCCCCTCGATGGGGCCCGCCCACACCGGGGCCTCCCCCCTCCCGCCCACTGCTTTCTCAACGGCCCCGAGCCGGGGCTGCCCTCATTGCATACATAGTGCGCCTTTCCCTGCTTTTCTAGTGACCTAGCGTTCCGCACTGCCGTTTGGCCAGCCCATGCTCCCGTACCGTTGCGTTTCTCCCCAATGCGCCATGCCACTTTGCCAGTCATACACACGTTTCGATGCGTGCCCTGTCAGCTGCTTGCGTTGCATGTCGCCTTGCTCCACCCCTGTTTTATTGCTTTCTCTGCTTTCGCCCGGTTCCCGTCCCGTTTCGGCGGGGAGTCTATGTTGCAAGCTAGTTCTTGCTTTACCAGACTTTAAGCCCACACAAGCAACAAGCAACCTGGCGCGCCCTGCCGGGTGGGTGCTTTTGATGCCGGCTGGGCACCACGTTTGGTGATGGCGGCGCCCTGCAGCACTGCGGGGGAGGCGCCTGACATCACGTTGCATGCAAGCCTGTCGGCGCTTTGCATGTTTGCGATGTATGCCGATCTCTCCTTCGTTCCTCCGTCGTTGCTTGCATGCTGCAGGCCAGCCACACTCCAATTCCTCAGCCTGCCCCCACTTCAAGGGCTCTTCGCTGCCAGCAAAGGTGGTGCCGTTGGTAGTCATTATGCCGGATGAGCGTCTGCAGTGTGCATTAGAAGACATCAGCGTCAGAGGCCGAAGCGGCGAGGCGCTTGGTAGACAGCTGTGCCCCCCTGGGCCACCGTTTACAGCCACCGGCAGCAGCAGCAGCACCCTCGCCAGCGGGGTCAGCGGCTGCTGCGGATGCTGCCAGCAGCCGAGATGCTGCTGCGCTGAGCAGTGCTGCTGCGAATGCAGCTGCAGCAGTGAAGGCAACTAGCTGAGACTGGTGCTTGAGCTGGCAGCAGCAGCTTCCTGCTGGTGCCAAGTGTGACCCGGCTGCCCACTGCCTTTCGTGCTTCAACAGCCGTTTTTCTCTGCTGACCCGGACCAATCCTGTCTCCCTTGCCGCCATGCCGCTCCTCTGTTCTGTGGGTCTCTGGGCATCCCATAGTACTGTCTATCACCTGACGCATCCCCCCAATTTGTCACTGGTTTTTTGTTTTCATGCACGCTGCCATTGCAGCAAACTCGTGCCGCCCTGTACCGCGTCTTTGTGTCTCTTGTCGAGTCCAATGTCACTGTCACCCCACGTCATGCATCGTCCTTCTCCTGACGCCCCAGTTCACCTCTTTCTGTCTGCCGCTGTGCGCACGTCGAGCTCGTTGCTCGCTGCGCTGTTGTTGCACTGCTGCCTGTTTGTTTGAGTTTGTGGAGCTGTTGCCTCCAACAATGCTTCAATTTGCTCGCCATCTCACATTAATGTTACTGTTGCTGTGCCGTT